GGGGAGATATTTTCACCATCTCATGACCACCATATTCCTGAGATGCCACATTCTTCCCCGCCTCCTAGCGAGCATGTGCCTGATGAGATGCCACAACCTTCTCCGGCTCATACCGAGCAAGTGCATGATGAGATGCCATAGTCTTCTCAATAAGCACAGCCGATACATGAACAATGAGTGCCTCCTGAAGAAGGTGATGCACAAGAAGATGAGGACGTGCCTGAATGGGAACTTCGAAAGAAGCATCCAATCACCATAAGGCCAGTTTATGTTCTGATGAAAGACGTCTCGTCGGTGTCCAAGTGGTATTCCCATGGCCAGTTCAAGCCTGAGAACCAAGTTAAAAAAGTCCCATCATGGGGTTCTGAGGAGACCGTCACTAGCAAACTCCACCAAATTGCAAAGTAGTATCCAAATGTTGATGCCATCAAATGGTCAAATGATTGCCTAAAAACATATGAAAGAGGCAAGCCCTTCCTACCAAACCGGGACATTCAGCGCCTACCACTTGGAATGAGAAGGTTCCATGATTGGTACTTGCGTGTTCTCCCAACAAGCATAGACCTCATACAAGCATGCTTCCCCACCAGCACATTTGGAAGCCCAGCCGGGAAAATTGTCTTTGACTTCAATGACATGCAGACATGTTTTTACCTAGGAGCAATGGAGATGAATCTAATTCGCACATGGTGCCTGTAAGTCCTTGTCCTCCCGATATGATATGAATGTAATCTTTGAATTTTATTGTAACTAACCCACGCCATGATTTGTAGAATGCAAGTGTACATTGTCAAACAAATGCCAAGTGTAAAAGCCGGATATATAGACCCTCAAGCTATAGCCCAAACAAATTTTAATTACCCTAAATAGTGGAAACTAGATGCCAAAGAGCTAGCTGCTGCAAAGACTCTTCGGGAGAAAGAGCACATCCGTATAGGAAAACTAAGAGAAGAGTCCCTTAAGGTTGCGGCATACATTGCCCTGGCTTTCAAAATTCTCCAACAGCACTCTACTATATGGCTACCATACAACTTCGAGTAAGTTCAACTCTATACTTAAAGCTTTGTTCGATATATTTTATTTGATGCAAAAGAGCTTATCTAGTTCTATGATTAAATCCATACAGCAACCACTGGATTTGTATAGCCGTCGATGTCGAGAGGAGCATGGCATGGGTCTTTAATTCAATAGATAGGGACCCGGTGACATACAAAGACTTCATATCGATTCTCAAGACATATACATATCGACAATCCTCATTAGCTTATATATTTGTATATATACTTGTAACGTTCACTTTTGGATACTAACAAGTTGTATTTGCTAAAGTAATTTGAACATGGCATTTAGGTTCTATGTCACTACACATCACGGAAGGCATGATCCAGCAAGGAAGGAAAAGCTGACTATAAAAACACTATGTGCGGTAAGTGTAACTTACTTCTTTAGTACTCCATTACATGGCTGTTAAAAGCATTACTTAACATTTTCATATGCAAAACACACAGTGCCCCAAGTAGAAGCCTAGGAGTGTACATTGTGGATACTATATATGTTCTATGATAAGTAACACCGGTGCCTACAGGAGACACCCCTTAAGGGTAAGTTTGAACCTCTTCACCCGTAGTATAAAAACTTCGTATATGGTATGAAATACTAAACCGAAACTTGTTCTCTTGTAGTGGAAAGAAGAGAAAGGAATGAAAAGAGACCCATATAAGGATGACCAACTCTTAGAGCTCATCGGTGACCTTTGCAACTTCATATTGGACCAGATTGTACACGTCAAAGGCGCCTACCATGACCAAGAGTCTGACTTAGGTAGAAATCCTCAGTACCAACACCTTTGTAAGACTGAAAGGCTAGCTCTAGGACGTCGATAACAATGTGTATGGAATTTGTATATTTAATGATGGATTGTATATATTCTTGTGAATTGGACTTGTAATTGTAGTTTATATAATACTCTTGTGCTTGTAGTCTAAGGGGTTCGGAACGTTGGTCGCGGGGCGTTCGGCAATGCGAACGCGGTTCGGAACGTTGGTCGTGGGGCGTTCGGCAACGCGAACGCGGTTCGGAACGCTGGTCGCGGGGCGTTCGGCAACGTGAACGCGGTTCGGAATGTTGGTCGTGGGGCGTTCGGCAACGCGAACGCTAGATGGAATACGCGGAAACAAACATTGTTCTGGTTGAATTTGAATTGTAAATTTGAATTTTTTTGCGGAAAAACGTACTGTAGGGGCGGTTCTAGATTGAACCGCCCCTACAAACAGGTATTATAGAGGCGGCTGGTACTACAGCCGCCCCTACAAATCGATTTGTAGGGGCGGCCTGGGAACCGCCCCTACAAATGCATGATTTGTAGAGACGGTTCGGTAGGGCCGGCTGACCAAACCGCCTCTACAAAGGGTTACATGTCACCCCTAAAAAACGTTTCTGTAGTAGTGGTTGTAGTGTTTTTTTTAGGCTTACCAGATTGGTAAACAATATAATTTTTGGACTAGTATAACTGCATTTATGTATTTTAGAAATTTGTTGTCCTATTTTAGTTGTCAGAAACGTTCAGTTAAGTTCAGAGGTTGTTTATGCAGTCTTGGACATCTAATATGCTAGATTGTATTTTATCAAAGTTCTAGATGATAGTGTTTTTCATCTTCTGTAAAAGTTTCATAATTTTTGAACAAGTAATTTATCCACAACAAAAAAGTGAAGTAGGGTTCCTACTGTTGATTGATTGTTTGGTCGCTGTTTTGGGAGAAACGGTAGCGCGGGCTGTAGAAGTGATTTATGTGTTATTTGTTAATATTTGTATGAGTTTATTTTTTGAGGTGATGATGTTTGAACAGGTAGACCGCGTTTGGATCGTTCTTAGCTCATGTTTTTGCATCGTTGTCTCGAGGCAAGTAAACGCAGCGGTGGTTGCTACGGCTTGACTTGTTATTTATTCCACCTACATATTGTCATAACATTAACTGAATCAAAATAATATACCTAATCATGAATTCAGTTGTCCCTTTAAAGTAAGTTATATATGATTTTATTGATGAATCTCTTATCCTACGCTGATCATCACGAGGTAAGTGGATGTTTATGATGGTGGATGAATATGGCAGATGAGGTAAGTATACTTGCAGCTGCATCATATCATTGCATTTTGTCATGAGCATGTGCATTTGAGCCAGGTCAGTGAGAAAGTCATATAACTATTCCAGAGTGCTTTTAAGCCAGGTCGGTGAGAAAGTTATATGACTATTCCGGAGTGCTCTTGTGGATTGTGTCGCCGCTTGCTGGCCCCGACCGTAGGTGGTCGACGCGAGCTCGCATGGGCGAGTTCGTTTGTGGAGAAGAGATAAGGAAGAGGATGACACATGGGTCCCACGTGTCTCTACTAGGATAGAATTGGGAGGCATGTGCGAGCTCGCATGGCGAGTTCGTTTGTGGCGAAGTGATAAGGAAGAGGTTGACACATGGATCCCACATATCATTCTCTACTGGGACAGATTTGAGAGGCCTGTTATAGATAGTGTTGCTGAAGAAAACAGACAAAGGGGTCTATTTTGGGTAGTATAGCTGGATGGGGTTGGTGGGGTGCCGTGCACATATATGCTCCTTGCACTGCACAGGCGGGCCGGGAAAATTTTTCTTTGCCCGCTTCGATTCTGACAGGATGGCAGTATCCTGAATGGACTCATGCATGCATGCAACTAGAATACTAGATGCAATTCTACCTAGAAGGCTAGAATGGCCCAGCCATGCATGGTCCAATCGAAATATTTTACTGTTTTATTTACAAAAGGGAAAAGAGGGGGGAGATATAGGAGTATGAGATGAGATCGAGAGAGACATGGCCGTGCCTTTTTTGTTTAACAGAATCACAAAGAGACATGGTGACATTTTTCTCTCATTCTTTTTTGCATGTAACAGAATCAATCTAAAATCGCCTTATACGGTGACATTTATTCTCTCATGCATAGCGTGCAAATAGGTCCAGATTTTAATTAGGAACAAAACGTTATGGAAAAAACTGGAAGATTTTGAATCTAAAGCCATCGCCTTACCTTACAATCTTTATAGTCACCATATGCACAAGGAAATTCTCTTGAAAATGGAATAATTATATCTTGAAGAAATGCAAAAAAAAATTGAAATAGTGCCCAAAAATGGATTCAAATAATTAAAGTAGTTAGAAAATGGGTATCAAATCCCATAACAACATAAGCTGCTTTACAATTGGACCCTTAAGAATTTTGTAAATTATTTTCCCAAAGGAAATTAAATAGCCTCTCAAGTTGCTCTTGCTCACTATACAACAAAAAGGAATGAAAAAAAGGAAATGGTGTAAGCAACCCATCAGTGCAAACAAAACTACAACAGGAAAGCAATGAATAATTAATTGTATATAAAGGTATATATTCTGACTCCGGAGTATTAAACTATGGTAACAACAATTTTTAAGTGCGGGGGTGGGGGGAGGTAAGGCCAGGATGAACCATGCATGATTGTGGTAATGATTTTGCATCGATCACTGTGCACAACCGACGGTTAACTGACCGTTCTCATGTGACGTCACCTTTGTTTTATGTCCCCTTGCTTTCCTTTTCCTGATTCTCTCCCTTTTGCTTTTCCTAAGCCTCCAATATCATCTTTGTCTCTTTAGACATGCATGTAAATTTGAGCACTCAAATGAAACTTCCATCCCGTACGTTATCCATACGCATTGGTTGAAGAGAAAGAAGCATATGAGAGACAGAGAGAGTGGGGCAAAAAAAAGCTGGTTTTGTATTTTGTTTTGACGATATAACTTTGCCTTTTGTTTGCTTCTTGGAAGCCAGTCATGCTAAAGTATTGTAAGCCTATATATGGTACGACGGTTTAGGTTTATATATGATGATCATATCATGGTAGTAATGATGATGTCAGGATCTCTGGTTTGCTTTTGGTTGCCTCTCCAAGGTTGGCTGCATGCAACTCAAGGTGGTGGCAGGGATGTTGCTGCTCTTCTACCCATGATGATCCTGGCTGTCAGATGGCCAGAAGGATGGGTACGGCCATCTTGTGCTCTCCTTGTTACCACCTGAACCAGATGCTTCCTGTAGGCAAAAAAAGAGACGTAGAAATAGAAATAAATGTTATATGGAAGGTTCAACTTCTTCTCCAAACAAAGAAAAAAATGTATATAGTAATACTACCGCCGATAATAGTAAATTGTTCTTAATGTGTGTCCTTGATCTATTTTAGCTTTGATTACACATTTTTGTACTCTCTTAGGCTTACAAAAAGTGACACTTTACGAATTCAAAATGATCCCTGAAATACATATGGGTAGTAGGTTTTACTTTTTTGGTTTATTCAATTTAACATAAGAATGAACGATCATTTAATTTATTTTTTAAAGAATTTAACATGTTATTTTTATATAATCAAAACACCATTTGTGACCAATGCACATATAATTTGTATATGAACATCCAGATTTTTACAAATATAGGGGCAGATAAAGTACACATATCCTAAATATTACTGAGGGTAGTATCTAAATTTTGTGAATTTTTTGACAAATGGTTTGCTAATTTCTTTCATAGACTTGGATAGAGACAGTAACACTTCCTTGTGCCCGTAGGAGTTTCAAGTATTGTCTGAATATAGGTACAATTATGCTAGCTGAGCGTAGCTAGCTAAGATTGTTAATAGGTTCCTTATGGAGTCTTCCCTTTAAGTTGAACTCTCCAACTCTCGGCAAAGGTACTTGTAAGTTGTCTAATTATTTTTCATTTTAGTGGCAACATGCCAGTCGACATTGCCAAACCTGGTGTGGTTACTTTGTTTAATAATCTCCATATCTACACTAGTCACTCATAAGCATTCGTAAGAGCCTGTGTGCGTGTGCATATGTGATGTCTACGTCCACACTATGTTGTGAAAAAAGGGTAAACGACACCAGTGATATAAAGAAGAAATAAATATGCTTCCATCAATTTTGAGAGCCATTTTTTATATGTGTGTGTATGCTTACCCCTCTTTTGGACCTCCTTGAAGTACATCCCATGATCACCGCTTCGAGCCCAGCAGTTGACCGTCCATCAAAATTTTGAGGTTGTTGGTGTAGCTGCTCGTCCTCCTAGTTCATTTAATCAAAAATCAAATCAAATAATAGGATCAATAATATTCACTAAACAATAACATCAATTGTCACTAATGTGAAAATGTAACATTGATCATGATTTTTTTTTTACTATATTATGCCAATCTACCACCTGCTGATGATGACGATAAGTCGTGCCATGTCCATATCCATCTGGATGTTGAAGTATGGCAGAACCATGGTGAACCACCGGCGACGAGGTGATCATCGTGGTGATAGGCTCCGCTGGTGTGTTGATGTGGAATGCTGCAGCAGCTGCAGCCATGCGCTGTCGTTGCTCCTGGTTGCCAAATTGATGCTGGTGAAGATTATGCTCCTGGTGAAGGTTAGGATGCCCTGCATGCACTTCCTCATCATCCCTCACCGAAACCTGAACTGATGCTCCCACGTCCACCTGTGTACACTTTGTTCATATTAATATTTTCAAACTATAATTAGTAATTTTCTACAGATTACTTTTGCCAATCTAGGTTGTCTTAATTATTGACATATCAAATCAGATAAAAAATACCAAACAGTAGGAAAAACTAGAGGTCATCATCAATATATCATATTACCAATAGCATGTTAAAGACATTCAAACTTTTTTTTTTTTGATACTTTTATTTTTATTAGATGAACAAGACGTTAAAATATTATTCAAATTCTTCAAAAGTTCAAATAATATGAAAATGTAGATATAAGCGGAAGTAAATCCAAATGCAACCAAAATTGGTAACAATCAATCGACTTATTTTGATTTGGCTTGAATTCTTTTTCCTATCGACAATTCAACTAGAGTATAGCAAGAAATTCAGTAACCTAACTAGGGTGAATTATTTTCCAATCAGGAAAAATCCCATATGGTCTGATCTTATGGAAATACACTAAATGTTGTTACAATTCATAACCTTGTGCACGTTGGGAAATGCTTTTTTACAATGAACATAGACACATAGTGCTAACTTTATGGTTCATGTTCTATTCATACTGATAGTAAATATTTTAGGAGAAATTCATGGGCAGACAGTTGATGGAGTATTTAATATAATTAGGTCATGTTTGGATTAGCTAAACTATAAAAATTGCAGCTATTAAAAAGCTGGCTAATAAAACAACGGGGGAGGGGGGTTCCGATCACTTGGCTTATATATAGGTAACTATGGATCATTTGCACACCTATTATTTGTTACTATTAGCTGGTTGAGGCAGATAATAGATTATTAATTGCTAGTTGGGTTGTAGCCGAGCAATAAGCCGACCTGTTTAGATCAGCTACAACTTTTATTAGTAGCTTCTTATATAGTAGTTCACTCGGTAGATAATCCTGTTTTATTAGTCACAACTGTTTTGTTGGACATCGGTAGATAGGGAAGGTGGCCCAATTAGGAAAGTAGATTACGTGTTGAGCTAATTTTGGAGATACTACGGTCTGATATTATACTACTATCTCAGTCAAGGTTGATTGCTTTTTTTGAAGGAAAAAATATGCCATCGTACAGCACTCCAGAATTTGATAGTGCACAATGGAGTACTTGTATAGAGCTTTCTTGTCAACTTTATTCTTGTTTCAACAAAATAAATTACATGGAAATAATTGGCTATTAATTACTTCTGCATCTCATATGCTGGTCAGACACGCCCATCAATTTTAGGTGAGACCTCAGCTCAGTTCTCAATCCTCTAGCTAATCCTGCAGAAATTTTTCTCACCCTACCATTCATTGATCGGACCAAGCTGAAAGCACATTTGCATTGAAAACGTACACCCTCCCAAAACAAAAGGATCACATCCTATTTCTACCACATATCCTCAGAAGTGACATTATTTGTGAAGGCACAAAAAAAGCTGCATCAGTAGCTGAAAGAGCGTCGTCTGACATCTATATAAGCTAAGACTAATGTGAGTATGATTTTATGATTTTTCCTGCTTTCTTGAAGATATATGGAATCTGTACTTGCCTATATTTATCTTAATTAAACACGAGTTGAATAATTAACAGCTAGCTATTCAAATGTTAAATGCTAGACAAAACTACACAGAAACAGTAACCGACGTGTGGTGGGTAAGTGCGCTTGCCTAGCTACTAGTAAGATTCAATACATCCAAGTCAAGATCTGACCCAGTGCTCACTGCCAGTCACTTCCTCTCTTTTTGATTTGGCAAGCTTAATGCAAGGAAAAGAACTCAACAGAATAGTGAGCTAGAGCTAGGACCTTTAAAACGCAATGGTGCTTGTTAGAAAACTCACCTCCTCGAAGCTGCTCCTGAACTGCGCAAAGTTGAACTCGTCAATGCCAGCAGCGCCGTGGAAGGCACCTGCGACGACTGCGACATCTGGTGGTGGTGCTACCATGCCCTCCAGCACCGGTGGGTCAGCAGCAGCCTCCTCCACTGTGTCAGAGGAGGCGGCGGCGGCGGCAGGCTCCGCCACGCCGCCACACTGCCTCGGCTGCGTCTGGTAGAAGATCTTGGACACGACGAGCTCGCCCTCGCGCTCCTCCTCTTTGTCGCCCAGGTGGTACTGGTGCATCACCCAGTTGGTCTTGTCCGGCTTGCGGTTCTTGCCGAAGTTGGTGTAGAGCACCAGGATCTTCTTGCACCCACGCTGCTGGCCGGCGACCACCACCGGCCGCGTCTTGCCGGTCTTGTGCCACCGCGTCTCGCTCCACTTTTGCTGTTGCTGCTGCGCGGGCAGGGCGGAGGAGGACGACGAGGCCTCGGCGGCCCGCGACTGAATCTTGCGGCGCTTGCGAGTGCCGGTGGTGTAAGCCTTGGATGGCCGGTGGAAGAAGTGCCTGCTCCGGCCGTCCTTTGTCAAACCTGCATGCATGACCATGGATAGACGATCGATGTCAGCGTGCATGCATGAATATGTATGTAGGTACAAATGCATAGACCTTCAGTATCAGAGCTGGCTGGCCAACAGATGGTCTGTTTGGTTGTTTCACTTTGGGACAAGGGGGGGGATGATGATGCAAGCAGCCATTGGCTGTTGGAGGATATAACAACCTTGAGAGGGTGACAAAACCTAACTTTGGAAGATAGGGGCAGATCCCATGTCACGTTTCATTCTAGAGAGGGAGGAGGAGAGAGTGATGCGCTACAACAAAACATTAATGTCGTACATGAAGATTCAGTACTAGAAGATTTGTATGGGCAATATATCTTTTTCTTCATATAGACAGTGTGCGTCAATATGCAAATCTACACCATTAATAATGTGCACAATAAATAGGAATTATACGCGTATATATGGTGAATGATAATTATACGCGTATATTAAGCAACATTTAAGTATATATAACAAATGCAGAAATAGCAAAGCGTAAAATACTTGAAACGTAACGAAAAAGATGGAAAACTGAAACTACTTTAAATTGAAATGGGGAAAAACAGCAAACGCAAAACTAAAAGACAAAACCATTGTATCCCAAGAAAGGAAGAGGAAAATTCTTTCATCAAGAACAATGAGATAGGGGAACAAAAGAAGAATCCCCTCTTGAAGAAATTGGCATCATCACCACATATATATACATACTGAGATCAATAATAATTCATGGAATGGAACTGTGCTGATGATCAATTTAGCTAAAATTAATTGGATCACCTGGCAGTCTCTCAGGATGGGTGTAGCATATGCCGTCCTCCCCCTCAATGGTGGGTATGAACTCATCGATCAGAGGGTGCGACGGCGCCGCCGCCGAAGCAGCCCGGACCTTGGCCTGCAGGTGCTCAATCAGCTCCTGATCCGTCGGGTCGAACTTGACCCCCGCCGGCAGCCCCACCCAGTCCTACACACACATGCATGCATCGTCACACAGCGAAGCTCATCAATCTACATCAAAACCTAACAAAGTGGTCGCTAGTCGTGCTTGTGAGTGATATACCAGCTTCCGGTCGGTCTTGTGGCCGCACTGTGGGCAGCAGCTCGACTCCGACAGGTACTTCCCATGCTCCTCGATCCTTGAGTCCATGCGGCGGTGGCCGCCACCGCTTCCGGTTGCCGCCGCCGCTGCACCATCCATGGCTGTTCCCTGCAGTTCTCCTTGCTACCAAGAGCCCATATGAGTAGTAGCACCGCACCCTTTACCTTCTCAGCCCGTGCATGATCACATGCAAGTGGTTGACAGGGCTGGAGGAGAGGGAGACGGGATGCACCGCGCTGCCGCCGGAGCCTGGAGAGAACGAGATCGAGAGGAAAGGAATGAAGAGGAGGAAGGAGAGAAGGGGGGTTATGGGGAAGTAATTAAAGATTTGGGGACAGGAATTCCATGTGCCGATGGCTTTAACTGAAGAAGAGATAGAGAGAGAAAGGAAAAAGGTCACCCATACACACGAATCACCTTTGGACACACGCTATACGACCATGCTGTCCCTCGCCCTCCGTCCACCTATCACTACTGCACAATTTTTTTTTTTTTTTTACGAACGGCTCCGATTTCTTACAGACATTTTTTTATAGGATTTCTTACAGATATTGCTCACATAAGAACCCGTTTCTAATTAGGATAAGGAGCACCGCACTACGTCAAATAATATTTGTAGGGGCGGCTCTAGCTGTAGGGGCGGTTTGCCCAACCACTCCTACTCAAGTGTTTTTATAAATTATGTATTTATAGGGGGTGGTTCCTAAATCAACCCTATAAATCGATTGATAGAGACGGTTATTTATAGAGGCAGCTGCAAATCAATTTCCAGAAATCATGAAAAAGGGGTAAAAAAATAGCAATTTTTTAATCTGAGGAGGGCCCCACCGACAGCCACACACCCCCCACTCTATGGCTGAAAGCATTTTTTGACAATTTTTGCACACTTTGCGTCGGCCGAGATTCGAACCCGCAACCTCTCCCTCGCGCGCAAACTCCTCTACCACTGCACCTCACGTTCACTTGTATCTACGATCCATTTTGGTTCCCCACATATTATACAAAACTGAGCATAAATTGATTGTTTAAGGCCCTAAACTAATTCAAATGAAAAGGTTGTCAACTACAAAGATTTATAACTTTTCGAGATCTACAACTCTCATTTTGATAGTTTCTCCATCCGAGGTCACTTATAAAATTTGAATTTCAAATTTAAGAAATTTGAACATAGTTTTCCATGACAAGATGATTTCAAATGAGAAAGTTATCAACTATAAAGTTTCTTAACTTTTCAAGATCTACAACTTTCAGTTTTACTGTTTATCCATCCGAGGTCGTTTAAAAAATTAAAATTTTAAATTTTTGGAAATTCAAACGTAGTTTTCCTTGACAAGATGATTTCAAATCAAAAAATTGTCAACTACAAAGTTTCATAACTTTAGTGCTTAATTTTTAATACTTGATGTCTATTTGTAGGGGCTGTTCAATATTGAGCGACCCCTACAAATCTGATTTGTAGGGGCCCCTACAAATCGGGCCATTTGTAGGGGCGGCTGATAACACCGATCACCCCTACAAATCTATTTATAAGGGCGGCTCATTTGGCAACCATTTGTAGGGGCGGCTCAATATAGAGCCGTCCCTACAAAGAAAGGGAGGCGTTGCCACAAATCGTTTTTTTATAGTGCCGGTGCACTGCATTTGCCCTTGAAATCGTTTCCCAGAGTTGGTTTTGTTAACTCGACCGCCCATCGGAATGGATTTCTATGGATGGTTTTCTTAACTCAACCGTCAATGGAAATAGATTGCTATAGGCGGTTTTCGTAATTCAACTGCGCATAGAATTGGAATTCTAGGGGTGGTTTTGTTAACACAACCGCTCTTGGAAATGGATTTGCAGAGATGGTTTTATTATCGCATTCATCTTTGAAAAAGTATTTCCAAGGGCGGTTGAAAGCTCGACACTGCAAAGGCCACACCTTAATTTACAATCGATGGCGTAGTGTCGATTTTAGAAACCGTCCCTAAAAACTCGTTTTTGACCCACTCAGGAGACTTCGCTCTCAACTTTTCTAATACTCATAAGGTTATAAATAGAAGTGATATGATGACAATACATTATTGTTCTAATACCAACAGTCATCAATATAGCACTACGTATATGATAGTAAGGATGTGAAAAGAAATAGAATTATAATGCGCACAAGGTTTAATTTATCAAGTAGTAGCGAATAAATAGTGATGATAGGATATAGTATCATTTATAACATAGAATTATAAAGAAATATAGCATATGGGGATTTAGTGTTAATCTTAAGTATAAATGTGAATATATATAAATTGGTGGTGTTAACTGTAGCAAACAAGATACCAAGAAATATTTGTCGTGCAAACTAGCGATATATATCGAGTGATGGCATGCAATATATTGCAAATATATAATTCATTCGGTCAGTTTCCTAAAGATTTTGGCCCACTAAAGCTCATGGCAAGCCATCCATGCATATCTCCTTCCTTTCAACTCTAGATCAAATTTTAGCCTTATTCAAACAAGAAATTAAGTTAATCCTCCATGTGTTTCTGGTATGGTTGTTATGACTAAAATGTAAGTTTGCTAGTAGATCTTCTATAAGAATACTTATTGCACAACTAAACCTTGTGACAACATATTATTGTGCTCCAGGCCTACAAATGACATTGTATGTTATTTACGGCAAATTCCTGTTGGTTATAGATATACAGTATAAACCAATGGTACAATAGTCTAGCTATATGACATGCTTTTTACCAACTGTGATATTTTGGGAAAGAGTAGTTGACAAAAGTGTCATGCTAGTAACACGGAAATATTTTTTCCTGGATTCACAAAATTTAAGATGTGCTATAATAAAGAGCACTGCAGTACATATTGTTATGAGAAGAGGACCAAGCGTAGCACGAGTGGTGGGAGCCCGGGGCTGGCTTGCTGCCCGCCACGCTGGTGTCTTAGCTCGGGAATTTCCCCTATTTTTGTTTCGTATAGGTCCTGGTCATTCACGCTGGTGTCTACGATGCTTGTTGTGTCTACGTTGTAGGTCTAGGGTGTGCATGCGTCCGTGTGTGGTGTATAGAGTTCTGATATTGCAAAAAAAAAATATTGCATTGTATAATTATATGTTATATATTGTACTCTGTCTGTTCCAAATTGTAAATCACTTTAGTTTTTTTACCTTTACTATGTATCTAGATATAATATTTTTTTTTTTGTAAATGAGATATAATATATATTTAGGTGCATAGCAAAAAGGATATATATCTAGAAAAGTCAAAATGACTTACAATTTGGAATAGAGTATTATAAGGGTGGCGTATAATTTTATGATACTGTTTTTCAACTTATACTAGTTGGCCCTGCTTTAATTGGCTTCATCGTTTGTTAGTAATTAAAACACTTGTTCACAATAATACTTGCTACTTTATATAATTCGCAAAGGCATGTTTCTCGGTATGCCTAACTAATTAACTCCAGTAATTTCCTCCACATTATCGATCATTTGAGTTGGCTTGACAGATTATCACAACATTTTGTCCACAGTTTATCCAAAAAGATGCCTCCGAAAGGTTATGTGTGTTAGGTAACAGTAGCTTGCTTTGACTGAAACTTCACAGAACATGGCGGGTTCCACCAGATGCTTGGTCGCAGCAACTATCAAGCACGCTTAGATCCTACTTCAATTCGGACAGCAAAATAATCATATAGCTTCCATTACCTCTTGATGTGTCCTAATACATACATATATATATATATATATATATATATATATATATATATATATATATATATATATATATATATATATATATATATATATATATATATATATATATATATATATATATAGCTTGTTTCAACAACAAAAAAACATTCTATCTCGCCATGTAAACTGTACACATCAGCATCCATTAGCACATGTAATTATGTTTTCATTCAAGCTATTCACATAACCATACCACATCATTCACTAACATGTTTACTTGTCTGTTAAGTGATTCACTAATATGTATTATGATATTTATTTGTTCATATAAGTAGCTATTAGTATAGTGTCATCTACATTTCCTACGGATATATTCTTCTAGTTAAGTATATTTTGCATTACAAGGTGAGTTTCTATTACTACATTAATTATGCCATATCTGGAATAGAGATACGCAATTTGTGAATGGCGTTTTCTATCATGTGTTTATCTTGCTTATGTCATTATGTGTGCCACAGCACAATTAAATAGTTGATGCCAAGCAACCATTAACCTTGTGCACAACCTGATCCTAGTGGGCCCGTGCATATTTAAAAGATGAGGCGTCCCGCGTCCTCATAAATAAAGTTTATATTTGCATCTTTCGCCATCACAGTTGTGTGGCAGCTGATTCAACTTCTAGGAGTATCTTGCTTGGAGAGATCATCTGTCTCCAGGAATTGTTTCGATAGCGAGTGACTGATAACCTAGTTTCTGACCTGTGATAACTGGGGACCACAGTTCCAGATTACAGATTAAGATGCCATGTATGCACGTGTTGCTCTAAGGGTTTGACGGTGTGGATGCAGGTGAATACATCAGGCCTGGGTTCCGACATGGATAGCTGGGTGGGCAGGGCAGCTGCATCCTCCAGAGACCACATGGTGATTACAGAGATGCAAATACGACAGTTTGGCCACCATATGGTAGCAGCCCTCAACTACTTCCACATTCTACCTCTCAGGTACTTCAACCAGGTGGTTAAACTGAATTGACATGATAAAAGCTCCATATGGCCATATTACAACCTCGACGATTTCGACTTTCAACATAATATTATCAAAGTCTTCAACTCGGGACCCTGACAATGAACGATTACTAAAGTCAATTCAAATGAGAACTGCAGGGTTCTAACAAAATCTGACATGTTCCATCTTCAATGGGTAGACTGTAGTAGCATACCTCATGAAGATGACCTTCTGCTTGAGAACGATCTTTTTTTAAGCCTCATCTAGATACACTGTAGCATTTGTTCATGCACGAACACACGTCCATGCTACTCACAACCACACTCACACTACACTACCACAACTAGACCTACAACAACACAGACCAGTAGAATCGCATTCTTCCAGAGATCACTAGGACCATCATGGCTGAACCGCATCCTTCTAGAAATCACCAAGACCATCATGGCTCTGTAGGCAAGGGTGTGATTTCTACAACAACACACCCTTGACTATTATACTTTAACACCCCCTCTCAAATGCAACATGAATGCAGTGTCATTGCATTAGGAGAGCTGACACTATAAACTGAACTTGAAAACAAAATGAAACTAATACATCCAAAATAAAAGATGTCATCAAAGCGTGCAACTCTTGAACAATGTCGATATACACCATGTTACAGATATTGGGGACTATACTGGATGATTGTATTGAGGCCATATAGGGAGTATACATAGAGTACATGAGAAACTAAGAGAGGGAAACTCTAGACTACAAGATTACACTAATACCCTTGACTATTATACCTTAACAAGGACCACACCATTGCCTACTTGTATAACAAATTTTGAAATTTACAATGGACACCAATCTACTTGAGTTAATCAATTCAAAAGAAAACTCACAGTTAGCAACAGCGATATGAATAGACCAAAGCAATGCATGGATCATTGACTATCCAAAAGTTTAGGCACACACCAGCTCTTTTGACTTACATTTTAACAAAAATGCCATATCACAGGCATCTAAACAGGGCAATACGAATTACATGTGGACTGTGGTACAGGTGGAATGAACTCAATCATGAATGTGGACTACACACTGAATGTACACAAAATTTCAGATCAGAACAGACAGAGCTCATTACATTTTTAAAATACAATGACAATGTACATAATGAATGACAAGCTGCACATTGAGTGTTGAAACCCATTGCGTTTTAGAACATAGAGAGAACTCACTGTAAGGCTTCATTAGACATTCATCTGTGAACTTTTACAGTTGTGTCTTCACCAACAGAAGACGTCGGAAGCAGGTGTTTGTCTTCCAAGTCATCTTCATCAAAGTTATCGTTGCTGGTGGTGTTGGAACCATCTAAATTCACAGACAGCAATATGACATGAGACTGGATAACAATAGGGCATAAACACACCAGAATGGACAATAGTACAATGTATAGACATGAAAAATGACAGCAAGGAGATCTATATGCATGATATTGTCAGTTATAAATAGCATGAGAAACCACCAGTTATGACAGGAAATAGAGAACACCAGAATCTACCTGAGAAACGACAGTCTGCAAGATGCTTTGTCTCAGTTGACTCAAGCCGCATGCTTTCTGGTAGAAGGCAGTTGCAAAAGGCGCCTGAAAATAGTTTGGATTATCCTCCATTGTAAGATATTGGAATTTTCATCCCAATATGTGTGTTCTTTTGCAACAAAAAAAAGTATATGTTTTGATACGAAGTTACAAACCAACCTAATAGATCCATGTGTTTCATTTGTCAGTGACTCAGTTACATCCAAAAATGCAATTCAAATCATGGGAGATATTGACATCAAATATTAAGGCTTATGCTTCTGATGTTTTTCACTTTCATAATGGGGCCATACATGCCCCATGAGGAAAAACTTTGGTCGGTATTTGCCTATAATCTGGACAAGACTAGTAAGAAACGTATTGCATGTGGCAAGGATAACTAGTTATCATTGATCACAACAGATCATGTATGAGTTTCACAATATTCCTTTGAAAAAAAAAAGAATCCATGTAACTTTTTGTTGGAAACTTCCCAGCTTCAAGGAACTGGCCCTGCTTGCAGAGCTGGAGAATGATTGAACAATTTGATTTAAAAACTGTGTTCAAATTCAATACATTAAATAAGGTGGACACCGAGAACTCAGTAACATGGTGATCCTAAATTTAGAACTGTGTGTTCTATCATAGTTGGATCAAAAGCAATGGCATTGAGACTTACAGACACATTTAGGAAGTGATCTAATAAACATTCTTTAGTTTGATCATTCAATAATGTATGTTCATGATGCCAGCCCTTTCTTAGTTCTATGTGACTCATAATTAGCATCCTATGAATAATCATTGTACCCTGTGTAGCCCATCTCTCTTCCTCTACAAGTCAACAGGTTTCCTCCCATTCCTGAGCACTAAAATAATCCCACACTTGCTTCCGGCATCTATATCACAACTTCCTCTTGTCATTACATGATAACAGACACTACTCCATCCATTTCCCTACAGCTTGAGTATGCCCATCTTCTAGCTAATTAAAGTTTAGCAAGCCCATCTTCTACAGTTTAGCATGCCCATCTTCTCCCATCTACAGCTTCTTACCTAGGAATTTTTATTCGTGGTTAGGATTTGAGATACTACAAGATGAGTTTCTGTGTTCCCTGAACAATCTTTTTTTTTTTTGAGGGAGTGTTCCCTGAACAATCTTAATCACATACAACGTAGTAAACTGAACTGCTAATGTTGTATACTTCTTGGCTGTAATAAATCACCAGAAACTTTCAAAGACAATATATAGAGGAGCACATGTTTTATTACCTAGCCTTGCAAGTCGATTGACCCAACCAGGAATTGGTTTTCCTGTTAATCTGGTGCTAAGATCATCCGTAAAGTGGTTACAGTTCTTAGAAATGAGGTGGTAGGTATCTCCATGGTATTCTGAGGCCATCCTCTGAATGAATTCTCGAAATTCCAAGGGATTCAGAGTTGTGTGGCCTATGAAAACCGTACATCTGTATATGAACCCTGGGCAGTTCTTTGGTTCCACCTCAAAAACACCACTCGATGGGTGCTCATGTGCTCCAAAACTGTACTCCGATCCATGAACTGTTGAACAATCAACACAGTAACATAAAACATGAACAATTTGGACACTTGAAGAGAAAATGCTAAAGTATAATGATGAACCAAATGTTCTAAATACAGGATTAAATGATTTGTCAAGTTTTGGTCCTCATCACAAAATGGTCAAAATTGCATCATAGGATACATGCATATTCAGGAATATCTGCTCAGGAATCCAAGAAAAAAGAAATAGTTCCCCTCAAAAATGAAAAAGAGCAGTGGCAGAGCACTTACTCTCTTTACTATTTGTCAATTGTCCCTAAAAGATCAACAGTGCTAACTTCAGGTTCGTCATTCTAACCTTTGGATACACAAAACCAGTAATAGAACAAAAGCTACCAACAGTTTTACAAATTTACCTTTACCAAAAGAAAGTTGCAAACATATGAACGCACTGGAAACAGTTGAGTTGGTTGATAGACAAAGCAAAATGATAATAGTTTTCATGGCCCAAATAAATATAAACTCACTTTCCTATATGTCAGACGCCTGTTTTGGTTTCTGTTCAGGCAACACCCTAGCCATTGATCTTGCTTCAGTTTTTGTGCTCCATCAAGCTGAATCTCAGGTTGTTTTTACTTTGAAGTTGGATTCAGACCAAGACCTGCTAATTGCTAACATGTAATGGCTATGCCTCCTCTCCTTCCTATTCCACCCGTTAATTTTGTATTTATCTTGATCGCATGTCCAATGTCTTGGACTGAGAGAGTTAGCAGCATGGGCGGCGCCAGGGGTATTCCCCTGTATGCCATGGAATACCCAAGAGTTTGCAAACAAACACAAACACAAATACATGTATACGCTTGTATATTTGCTACATTTGCAAATCTGGCCGACTGGACCAAAGCCCCAAAGCCCAACAGACAGAAAGCAGCGAGCAACCCACCAAACAAAAAAGGGTCGCATCGTTTTCCTGGCCGCCGCTCCCAGTTTCCCAACTTACATATCAGCTCAATGCGTACATTTCTTAGGTGCGTAGAGACGAAAGGTTTAAAATTTTAAAGAACCTACGCGAGCTTTCAGTCATGCTTGTTAGCACAAAAAGACATGAGCAGTATTATGTTGTCTACAAGCTTCTTAAGTTTGTGCTAATTCTTCCTATAGCCACTGCTAGTATTGGGAGAGTGTTTTCCACCATGAATTATGTAAAGAACAAGCAAAGGAATAAAATGAGTGATGAATAATTTGAACAATTGTTTGGTCACATTTATTGAGAGAGAATTCTTGAGTCAAGTGAAAGATGATGATATCATTAATGAATTCCAAAAAGAGGATCGTAGAGTTCAATTTTAGTAGTTTTGAGCTTTTGATGTTTTGTAATCTTTCTTAATTATTATAGACAATGGCACTATGCTACCATGTTCAGATCTTGTACTTTGATTATTACTATTACACATTTGCATCAATTTTTTTTTTTTTTTGTACGCGGAATACCCAGCTGTGAAATCCTGGCTCCGCCACTGGTTAGCAGGGAGAGGATAGAAGGTCGATTTTATCCAGGTCGTGGTGTACCAGCAAACGCCCTTGATCCCGAGCCAGTGCTGTTGCCTGTTGAGGCTGCTCTGACAGAGCTCTGGTGAAGGTCTGGAGTGTGGTTGCTTCCCACTTTTGTCCTTGTTTGTCTATAGAAAAAAAAATGTCTATTGTATCATGTATTTTGTGCAAAATATACTACTCAAATCTTTTTTTTCTCGAAAACGCAGGAGCTGTGCTTCATTATATTAAGAAGAAAATACGGGACAAGAACCCAAACACCCACATACACACACACTCTACACACGCCAAACCACCCATATACTACTCAAATCTTTTGTTTTGTAATTGTAGGGAAACACAAGGCAACTTTGTGATTATTTGACTATATACAACAAAGATTGTGGATTGTGTAGGTACTTTGGTCCTTGTTTGGCTATAGAAAAAAATGTACAACTATAGAAGAAAAAAAAGGAAAACGTAGGATTCTGATTTACTGAATTCCATAGTCTAGTGCTGAGTTTATGTAGTTTAGTGGTGGTATAACTGTATAATTATAGTTTTAACTAACAAAAGTTACACTAGTCGAAATGTGCAATTTTCTAGGTACTGGAATATTGTTTGTAATAAACTTTCCTGTACAAATGAGCACACAGCCACACATGCATTGATTTTTCACCGTAATGGTACATCTGATTTGTCATTAATTGGAGATGTAATGTGTTTGAATTTGTTTACACGTTGTGTAGACTACGAATCTCTGTTCCTCTATGCAACTGTGATTCCAAAGGAAAGTGAACTATGATGCATGCAATTTTTTATAAACATTTGTTACAAAACACAAATTTGAAGCACTTATTAGTACTTCACAGACAAATAGTCCAATACACATTTTGAATCCAACTTAGCTACCAGGTGGTACATTACAGAATAAAGGAATGAATGAGGGAAAACAGGTAGCCAAACAGTTTTCTGGTATGTTTAGCAGGCCCGTTAAGAAATATTAGAGTTAACGGATTTTTTAGCTGGCCCGTAACAGTTTAGCTGTACAAACAGATGTAGCTGTTAAATCTTAATACAACGGTTAAGATCGTTGCTTGAACAAATGTACTATTTCAGGATCTGAAATATAGCAGTGACCAAATAACTGGATTGCAGATAGTAATACTTGAGTGGTGCACTTTTCAAGAACTTGCACATTGACAAATTACAATTTTAAATATTACTAATAAAGCATGTAAGTAGGTAGTTACACGTCAAACAGTGCTAAGAAGATGAAATCACGAGCATAAGAGGCAAAAATAAAAGGAGACAAGTTTTTTATCAAATGCCATATGAATGTCAGTCTCATGGATCTGCAAGCTTCAACTAATAAATCTCATGAAGGGCGCTTTCAAGTAAGTGGACTGAATTATAACCCTATCTATTGATAGACCAGCAAAGGTCTATTATATTATAAAAAAAAAGTTCAACTGTATAATTACTACAGATTCATTATTGCTCAAACTAGCACAAGACCACACTTCTAAACTGACTTTCTAAGAACTGCAATTCTACATAATGTTTTGCAAACTACACTTGAGTTATCTGCAATTCTTTTTTCTCTACCTAATATTAAAGAGAGGATGATTTCTTGTTTCATTATCGCTCACAACCATCCGATGGATCCAATCTCTCACGTGCCTATACAAGTTAGAGTAGTGTGTCTAAGCACGGAGCGGAGTCCTATTCCAAGACGAATTAGAATACGGAGTATTTCCATGGTCGCCACTCTCTCCTGTGCACCTATTGAGTTAGAGCAGACTGTATAGGCGCAGCACGCAGTCCGATCTCAAAACAAATTAGAACACATGATGCTATCAATGATAAATCTCTAAACCTCCCGTACCCATATGAGTTAAAGCATCAGGCGTCCATGCACAGCACGACGTTCGATTCCAAGATGTATTGAAAAAGTTGACACGATCGTTGCATAAATCTCCGAGCCACAAGTCATCTAGATCTAGTTAATCGTGCAGCAAGTTGTACACTCCATTGCATCACACAGGCAAGTTTGCTACTTTTAACAGAAAATTGTAACTGTAAAAGGATTGATCATACCGTACATTCACAAGAAATGTGATGTAATCATATAACTAAGCTAGGAAAGTAACATTTTTTTTTCTAAAAGAGTGGCAAAGTTCTATTGAGGTAGCTTTGATCATTAACTAACTGAAAAAGGCTCCTTCAACATAAAATAAGATATCTATTGTGATACTTCTAAGCAACAATAGATATGTCCAGTCTCAGCCTTATGGATACTAGGAAATACTAGGAAAACATAAAATATATATTGTGATACTTCTAAGCAACAATTGATATGTCCAGTCGCAGCCTTATGCATACTAGATGGCTTATCGGATTTAATCTTTCCCTTCTGAACCCTCTGAATCTGTCATCTAGCTTAACTGAACTGGAAAGTACCCAACTGCATCCAAGGTCCTCTCATCTAGCTTACCTCAACTAGAAAGTACGCAACAGCATTCAAGATCCTGTTGTACCCACCATTCCTAGAAGCAACTCGCCGAACAAAAGCAGACTTCCAATAAAACTGCATCTAATTGTAGAGTTCCAATAAAACTGCATCTAATTGTAAAGTTTAAAGTTCACATAACAGTACAACCTACGGACCCGAACAATCCCCTCCGGACAAAATTGCCATTTCGGACCCGGCGCTTACCTTCGACGGCAGAGTGGAAGATGCCAAGCCCGCACCAGTGGAGGTAGTTGTTAATCGGCGTCAGGTCGTACACGTTGAGCACGACCGGGTACGTCGCCGCCCCCGCCGCATCCCCAACCGCCGCGCCACCGGACACCGCCCCGCCCATCGGCCCCGGCCGACCCTCACCTCTCCGCTCTCTGAGATATCGCGCGCGTCCCGCACGCCGGAGACTGACCGACCGCGCGAGCAGTCGCCGCCGCCCCGCGAGGCAGTAGCTACTGCAGGCGAGATCGCGAGGGACGCTGGATGGAGCAGAAGGGGAAGAGAGGCGGATGGAGACGAACCAGTCGACACGATGACCAACCGAGCGGGTCGAGAGCGTGTTCCGGGAGAGGTTCACGGCACATTGACTGAACGTTGGGGCAGTAGGATGTGGCCCGAATGACAATAGTTCCGACCCAAAACAATGGTTACTTCCCGAGAAGGTTAACCAAATCGGAAATGCTCACTATAGGGTGTCCGCACGCACGGATGGATGGACCCGATCGCCCGCGCTGCGCACCGCACGTCCCAGCCCACGCCGCCCACCGTGCGCCCCCCGCTCGGAGACGCGCCTCCTACCGTGGCTGCGCCCCCCGCAGGCGAGATGCCCACGCCAAACCTCCACGCCGCTGCGAGCCCCCGCTCGGAATCACGTCTCCTGGCTGCGCTCCATATATCCGCTGGCGACATGCCCGCGCCGGACCTCGGCGTCGCCGTGAGCTCCATGCGCCGCCGACCTCCGCGTCACCGCTAGCTCTTTGTGTCCATGCCGACTTCCACAATAACGAGCCTCCATTCGTCCGAAGCAGCAGGTGACATTGCATTAAAAGTGCATATTGTAAGTGTATGTTAAGTGTTTCAGATGTTTCAGAGCTATATTGCAAGTATTTTATATTGATGTTACAAAAGTATATCGAGATGTTGCACATGTTGCAATAGCTATATACATATGTTTCAAATGTATATTCTAGATGTTTCATCTGTTTTAGACGTATATTGCAAGTGTTTTATTTGATGTTGCATATATATGCAAGTGTTTCAAATGTTTTTATACGTATTTTGTAAGTGTTTTATCTAGATTTTACAATGTTTGCAATGGCTACACGCATGGTTTCAAGTTTTTCTAGTATTTTACAAGTTTTTCAATCGTATGTTGCAAGTGTGTCGGGGTTATAACCCCGGGTGTCTCACGGCACCGATTAGTAGTGGGTCACGCGGCCCACAATATATCAGCTAGCGAAGACCCGAACGACCGAGGCCTAGTAGATCCAAGAAAACCAGGCCAAACGCTAAGGCGGAGGCTGGCCACGACCCCTTCAGCAAACTTAGCCACACAGCGCACGAGAGACGCACGACCTCTCCACCGTCCCAACCCCTGGGCAGGAACGGGGAGAGGACGAGCACAGCCAGGCACACCCGTTCTGACGAGGTTAGGCATGCCACTCTGACCCCGCAAGGACAAGGGGACAGCGGTTGTTGACGGTTTTTATCGACAAAAACCAACCGCCAACTATGATCAAAAAGGAAGAAACTACATATTTTTACACACATATACCTTTACTATTGAGATATTTCTACTTGTATTGGAAAAGCAATGTTATACAGGGCTCATACTTGAATACAAGGGAATTATAGTCAAAGTACGCCATACATCAAAGTGCAAAGCAAATCATTTGCAAAGAAGGAGAAGAAGGCCTATCTAAATGCCAATTCTGGGCCAAGCACCGGCGTAAACACGGCCCAGGCCCACCCAGCAACCGACCAGAGAAGGACGGTGGCCAGGCGCGCCAACCAGGGTGCGGGCGCACCCTGGGTGCGGCCGCACCCCCGACCACTGCCTCTCGGGCCCACGTTGCACAGGCGGTTGCATGGCGGCATGCATAGACGGTGTAGGATAGTTTCCTATTTTTCCAACGCCAAACCGACCATGTTAAGGCTATAAATAGATGAGAAGAGCTCTCACACAACACACACCACAACTCAAGAGCCTCTCTCCCTCTACACTTGTATCTTTTTATCTTTTTAGTTTTGTTGGAGCAATGCAAGCTTCATTGAGAGCTTGAACCTCTAGGGGCAATCTTAGTATGAATAATATGGAGAGTTCCCTTATGTTCTTGTTCTTATATTATCAACATAGCTATGCTATTGAAATAGGGCTAAGTTCTTATATTATTAGTTTAGCATATAGAACTTTATACTTAATCTTTTCATACATACATGTTTAGACCAAGACCTAAATTGAGGTAGTAGGTTCTACTTTAAAATTAGTTTTGGTCATTATTTTCTTATGGGTTCGTCGTCCGTCCCCATGGCGGATGCTCTAGTAAGAGGACTCCTGATAAAGACGGAAGTTCCTGGCCACCGCTAAAGTAGTAGCCAATAGCGTAGACGTGGTGTCTATGTTAGAAGTTACATTTGTTTGCCTCGTATCCTCTGGTTGAGGGGTAGGCAGCAGGTGGTGACAGCCCTGTCCGTCCTTCGTAATCCCCCACGTTCAGATACTGCGTAGAGCTGTAGGCCGGCTACGCTTGGCGGACCAAATGTTCACCGGTGCTCGAAGTAAGTTTGTAGTGACCAAAGCTATCTTAACTTAGGATCTCTACTCCTAGAGATTCATGTATTTATATGATCTGTTAATCTTAGCATAGCTATACAAGATAAGCTTGCTCTAGTTTAGGTATATTCTTTTATTCTTTATTCTTTATTTTTCTTTTATCTTTATCCTTGAGATTGGCTTGAGTGTGTGTCACACTGTCCAATATTTATCTTATCTTACCCTTGTTATAAACTTTGGTCTATTATATAGTCATGTTATCTTGACTATATCCTTACTAGAGACTTTTACACCATGGCTTCCTTTGGGAAAATATAAATGAATGATACTCGAATACTTCAGGGTGAAATGCTACAACGATATACCCATGTGCATGAGGAAGATTTCTACATGTGTTCAGAAATATCGTCAATGTATTTCTTGGCGGCATCGCCAGGGATGGACTTAAAACTCCATACTTAGTGATTGCGCTAAGAAATGCCAATAGCGGCCACCTCGGTCCGGTCAGATGTCATCCCTGCACCACGCAGCTCATATAAGACAACACCGCCTGTCGATGTTTTACCATCAAATAGCACCGCCACAGGGCACCGTGGCGGTATAGTTCGAGTTTTGTATCGATGTTGAACTTCGATGGTGAACATAAAGAGACGATCGATTTATCTGGTTTCAGGCCCTCGATCGTAGATCGAGTAACGACCTTCGATCCGATCGGCGTTTGCCTTTGCGTTGGATTGATTATGAAGTGTTATGTCGCACCTCCTGTCCCTCAGGAGCCCCCGCCTCCTTTATATAGTCGGGAGGCGAGTCCTAATCGGTTTACAATGAGATTTCCTAGTAGGATTACTTAATAGTTCTATTACTAAGATTACATGGGAAGAATCCTAGTTGAACTAGATCTTCTCTCTCTTGCGGGTATCCTGTGGGTCCCGCATCGACAAACCCCCGAGCACTTCATGGTTGAGCTCAAAAGTCTCGCTTTGCTCCTTCAAGTCTTGTTGGGTAGGAACAAAATGTTATCCGAGTGCTTTCTGGAGTGAAACCTTGTAGCGCTTCTTGGAACCTTCGAGTGGTGAGTGTTTTGTGAAGAAAAAGTACATCCATCTCGGTTGTAGCCCCCAGAGCCTCTTGCTATTTGGAACAAGGAGCCGGAGGATCTTGTCTTGAAGTTGCTCGATTGTTCGTTGAAGTTTTGTCAAAAAGAACTCGAATATGGCTCGCTCGGGTTCTTTTGTCATAATGTCTTAAGTAGTCTGCGTTGAGGAAGTCTTTTTGGTGACGTGCGCTTTTTGGAGAAAAGTGCACTCACCGAGTGTAACCCCGAGCCTCTTGCTATTTGGAACAAAAAGTTGGAGGGTCTTGGTCCTTATGTTTGTTTGAAAATCATGCTCAAGTAATCCACGAGATTTGAATTTTGTCCTCATCCGAGTAGTTTTTGTGGTATCTTTCCGAAGCGGTCCTTTAGTCCTGGATTAAACCATCATCCGAGTAGTTTCTGTGGTATCTTTCCGAAGCGGTCCTTTAGTCTTGGATTAAACCATCATCCGAGTAGTTTATGTGGTATCTTTCCGAGACGGTCCTTTAGTCTTGGATTAAACCATCATCCGAGTAGTTTCGCGGTTCATGACCTCCCGAGCCTACGTTCGAGTTCTTTTTGGTGGGTGCAATTTTTCATAAAATTGCACTCACCGAGTGTAGCCCCGAGCCTCTTGCTTTTGCTTGCAAAAGTTGGAGGGTCCATTCTGCTCTTCAAAAAATTGCGGGGCTATGTATCCCGCACCTCGTGCCTTCTCTCGAGTTCTTTTCTTTTGAAAAAGGAGTCGGTTAAAAAGTCCCGATCGTCGTCGTCGTCGTAGTAGTCTTGAGTTTCTTGTACTTTTTGTCTTTTGTCTTTGATTACGAGCCCTTGAAATGAAGGCCGAACTCCCTAGTCTAGTGTTGATTAAGCCATCTTTCTTTGGCCATTGCCCCCAAACGTATATCCGTGTTGTTTTGTTCAGGAAGAACTCGGATGCGAGGTCTTGGTGTATTCTCTGATAGTTTGCTGCTGTCAGATGTAGTTGTATGGTGGTGGTTGAGTGTAAATGCCTTTTGTTCACGGGTTGTACTGTGCTGGTATATTCTTCCAAATATGCCCGCCTTCGAGCACTATTTTCCTCTCGCCTGAGTCGTCCATTATTGAGTCCTGTCCTTTCACTGTGTTCTTTGTCAGGCTTATTTCGTCGGTGCTCCTGGTCCATGTGCTCCGCTCCTTTGGTCTATAAATACTGTCCCAGAGTGCTTGTTTTCATCTATTGGATGTCCCGTTGAAACCTTCGTGGATATGAGCATGGTAGTTTATAAAGTGGAGCAGCCCCCGGGCATATTTTGTAGTTCCTGTGTGTTTTGTCGTAGCTGGAGGAAGTCTTGTGATAGGGATTAGAGGTAGGCTAATCCCACGACAGCATTGTGCCAGGATGTATGTGGTGGTAGTTGGAGGAAGTCTTGTGATGCGGGCTTCGCTTCTTCATCTGGCGATTACTGGGTTGATCCTCGTCCTTTGTCTTGAGGCCGTCTCACATCAACTCCAT